TATTCATTAGGTCTTAATCCACCTGGAACTGCTTTTGATAAATGGTGACAGGTGAAGATCCAAATATATTTTTACCAGGTGGCAAACCAGTCATGGTTTTACCCTGTCTTAAGTTCACTATCCTTTCCCACTGAATTAAAATCCCATCTCTATCATGTATTAAATTTACACACACACGCACGCGCGCGTGCGCGTGTGCACGCGTGCAAATATACACACATCTCCTGGCTCCTTCTGTCCCAATGATACTTGCCAGTCTCAGGTAACAGCATCAGATCTTGATGGTACTGCATACCGCAAAGGTCAGTTGCCACTTCTATTCTTTTTTCCCCCTTAATTTTTTACTCAATTTCAGATATTTCTTCTTTATTGTTCCTTCTCAGGTCCCAAAATAAAGTAAGGGGAGCCTCTTCTTCCACCCAAGCCGGGCTGTGTTGCCCTGCTTTCTGCATTTGTAGCCTGGAGCCCCGTCCCTCTGTGCAGCTGAGCAGGAATGGTCCTTAGTCATTGGTTGCCTCGCTCCTGCCAGCCTCCCCCTGGGCCATGTCCCCAGCTGTGGCACAGTGCCTGGCACATGGCCAGTGCTCATTAGATATTGGCTGAATCGATGATCAAGCAGATGCACTTTTTCTTTTTTGGTAAACGGGAAAACTGGTTTTCTCTCTTGCGCTAATTTGGGACCAAGGCAGTCACAGGTTGGTTTAGTCTTTGGACAGTTACCTCCTCCGTCTCAGCTTTTCCTACCTGTCACACCAGCCCTGATGAGCTGGGCGCCTTCCACTGTCACGTGGCCAGGGTCCTGACAGGGCTGAAAAGCTCTCGGGAGGACAAGAACCACACAAAGTGAAGCACCAGGCTGCCATCACAGTGGGCACAAGGCTGGGGGGGGGGGTCCAATACGTTTAGGGGCCCACAAAAATGTTCTGACTTCTTTTAAAATCAAGAGAGGGGCACCTGGGTGGCTTAGTCGGTTAAGCTTCCAACTTTGGCTCAGGTCATGATCGCATGGTTCATGAGTTCAAGCCCCACATCACGCTGTGTGCTGACAGCTCAGAGCCTGGAGCCCGCTTCGGTTTCTATGTCTCCCTCTCTCTCTGCCACCCCTCTCCTGCTCGTACTTTGTCTCTCTCTCTCTGTCAAAAATAAATAAACATTAAAAAATTTTAAAAAATAAAATGAAATCAAGAGAAAAAATACGAACTTTTAGGCAGAAGAAAACGTTTTAATATATCACGATGCACTCGTCTTTATGCAATGCAGTCATAAAATATAATTTTAAATATTTTTTAGTGGAGGAAGGGGCCTAGGAAGGCAAGAGTCCCAAGGGTCCAGAAAGTCATAATGTGGCCTTGTTAAACACAACCCAGATTAGTGGGGTAAATATTTGGCACTGGTTGCCTAATAGACCCAGGCATAGGTCTGGGTCTTCTGAGTAGAAGCATAGGAAGGAATCAAATAAAGCAACTGCTTGTCTGGGTATTTCCAGAGATAAGAACACACACGCTGAAATGGGTACAGGAGACTTCCTTGTCCGCTGGGCGGTTCCCTGAGCAAGCCCAGACCTGAGCTGGCGCATTAGAGCTGAAGGGTGAGGCAGCCAGACAGACCTGGATTCTGGGCCCGGCCGTACCTTGTGCTACCTGTGTCACCCGAGGCTAGTCACTTAACCTCTGGGAGTCTCAGCTTCCTCATTGGGAAAACAGCAACGGCAACACACGTTCTTTGTAGGACCGTTTAATCATACATGCAATCGGTCAACACCTGTTTAGGGAGCACTTCCTATGGTCCAGGCACCGTCCTGGGTGCTGAATACATACAACAACGTGCCCCAGCACATCCCGCCCAGTGCCTGGCACATAATAGTTCCTTAGTAAACATTTGCTGAGTTAATAGTTGGAAAGCAGGCTGGGCTGGTAGGAGGAGCCACCAAAAACAAAATAGGCAAACACAGGGCACCTGGGTAGCTCAGTCGGTTAAGCGTTTGACTCCTGACTCCAGCTCAGGTCACGATCTCACCGTTTGTAAGTTCGAGACCCATATAGGGCTCTGTGCTGACAGCACGGGGCCTGCTTGGGATTCTCTGTCTCCTCTCTCTCTGCCCCTCCCCCTGCTCATGCTCTCTCGCGCATGCTCTCAAAAATAAAGAA